ATACAACTGCCACTATGTAGTCCGATGTAGCAGTTCCACGCTTGCCGTCTAAACAAACAAATTTTAAAAAATAACTCCTCCTGCTTGGTCCACAAGACTTGTAGAAAGCCGTCATAGTCCAATAAAGTCCCAGCTTCACATTATATAGAAGTTATATTGCTTCAAACAGAGACCTTACATCTCCATTTCTTCTTCACTATTACTCGTTACCATGGTAATATTTAATTATTTCAATGAATATCATTAAATTTTAACGACCGGAAGTTCCATTCCAATTTCTGGACATGCTAAGAGCTGGATTTATTATAATTTTAATCTTCTTATCAAACAATGTGAATTGATGGCTCACCCCCTCAATGTTTACATTCACCTAGTATACATAGATGTACATGCATGTGTAGCAGATAGATTTTACAGGTATGCTTCACAAAATTTACATTTAAAAATTTGAAATTTTTTATAATTGTTTGATTGATTTGTACAACATAGAAGTTGACAAATGCCCATCTATACATGTACATTCCAAATTTTCAATGCATCATTCCCTCACTGCAGGTGGCTAGTGAAGAAAGGGAAGAGCAAGAAAGCAGATAAAACCCTCCACAGGTTACGTAAGGACTACACTGAGGAAGAGATAAAGGAAGAACTGAACGACATTGAGTTTACTGTACTGAACTCAAACAATTCTTTAATGGACGCATTTACTGACGTATTTAGATGGAGGATACTGGAAAGGTACAGTAGATTAGATTATAATAAGTTGTGAATAATATAAGCGTTATGAATTATTTTAAATTATGTCATGTTATTATTGTACAAAGCAAGTCTGTCTATTATTTATAATACCCTTACCATCATATACACATTATTGCTTGATGTACAATATTTCCATAAGCATAATATGTGTCATTTATGCTTTTCACTTTTAGTGTTTTAATTTTATTAATAGAATACTGTTGGGAGTTATACTGCAAATTTTTCAGCAGTTGACTGGAATGAATGTCATCATGTAAGTGAGAGTATAATTTTAGAGAGAAAGAGGAATTTATATTTAATCTATCAAAAGAGAGGATCTAAAGAAAGACATGATTCATGTATTGTTACTCCTTCTTTATCCAGGTATTACTCAACCTCAATATTCTGC